CTCACACTGCCCTAACTTATAAAGGAAGGAAAGGACCATACGTAGCAAGTCAATAAAACAACAAAATAAAAAAGATTCCATTTCCTCTCAGATGAGTAGGAGAAACCTCTCTGGGATTTTCTTAGATGTGGAAAGTGTGGTCCATGATGCATTTCTCGGGTTCCCCGGAGTCATAAGATCACTATTTAAAAAGCTCAAGGCCACTCACTATCAATGACACTGACACATCACCGCCAGCCCTGGCTGCTGTGAACCAGAAATGCAGATTGCTCACACCAGGGGACATCACATTTTTCTCTCTAATGAAACCCAGGGTGGCTTGGCCTCTGGGCAAGCTATCTTCCTGAGACAGCCAGGCGCTCGGCGCAGGAAGGCGGCCATTACAAGTGTGCCTGTGAATTCTGAGACCTCCGCAGTCATATGCCAGAAACATGAATTATTTTTCTCTCTCGGGTTCAGGAATATTTTTCTTTGCCAAACCCAAGAGTTGGGGGCAGCTGGGAAGGCTTGTGATTTCCCCAGATCTGGCAGGAAGCAGCTGGCTGCTTTGCAGCTTTGGGCTTGGATCAGTGGGAAGACATTCTCCAGGCCTGACTCCAGGCTCAGCACAGACAGGTGCCCCGTCCTCACAGCTCGCCCAACCCCACCGCAGGCCTCTGGTGCCCAGCTCCACCAATAATGAAAGGGCTTATGTTGGGGAGGGCATGTCGGTTAAAAGTGCTTATTACTGTGCCAAATAAACCCTTTCTTCCCCTCATCATTCATTGGTGGTAACTCCTCCCCACAGTTACTACCTGAGTTCAAGGCTGCAGGTTTTATCACCAGGCAGCCCTTTCAAATGCCCTGGGCAAGATCCTCCAAAGGGGCACACATCGGCCTCCCTCTAAGACAGCGGTTCTCAACCTGTGGGTCGAGACCCCTTTGGCGGTCGAATGACCCTTTCACAGGGGTCGCCTAAGACCATCCTGCATATCAGATATTTACATTATGATTCATAACAGTAGCAACATTAGTTATGAAGTAGCAATGAAAATAATTTTATGGTTGGGTCACAACATGAGGAACTGTATTTAAAGGGCCAGAAGGTTGAGAACCACTGAGGAGGGACAGCCCAGCTGTGAGATGAGCTGTCCTGGGAGCCGAGAGCCCGTCCCACAGGCCTGCGGGCTTCCTGACCCTGGGCATTGATGCATTTAGTGAACGGGGATGTAAGCATCCCTCTCGGGGATGCAGTGTGGCTCAGAGACAGGATGAGATGCTCTGAGGACGGAAAGCTTCCGTGGTGGTGATTATTTAGCATCTAGGCATTTCCAAGAACTAGAGGATCACTCCTTTACAACGTAGCTAAGTCTGTCCCTGGGCTGCCCTGGGATTAGACTCATCCTCCAACTGTGCACTCACCCCTGGCCCCTCATGTTCCTGCCTCCCAACCTCGGGCCACTATCCCGAGCAACCGAGAGAAGTCTGCACCCCTGCTACAGAGCAGGTCTCATGGCCAAAGACACCGAGCAGGTGTGCCCCGGTTTTCCTAACTGACACCCGTCCTCGGCTGCCAGGGCTCCAGCCCTCACCACGCGGGCCGCCCTCGACCTGCACTGCACACCTCGAGGGCCCAGAGCAGAACTCCACACCGAGGGGGACTGGGCCAATACTGCCCACATCTGCACATACTTCTCATGGCGCGGTTTACAATGACGCTGACGGTTAAGCAGCTCTGTCAGCACCTAGTGCAATAGCGATCCTGCAGTTCTCCACGCCCAGGACGTTCCCAGGTGCAGGTGCTCTCAGAGGCCTCGGGCGGTTCTGTAATCGCACACAGGACTCACACTTGGGTCTCACACCCAGGTCTGCACCAGTGCTCCCAGCTGCCAGGGTCACTGACCATCAGTTCACCCGTTAAAGCGATGGGGAAGCATTCCTTCTGCATCATCATTCACATCAGATGACAAAAAGCGAGTAAGAACAGAGACAAGGGCTGCGGCCTCTGCACTGTCTGGTGCAGCAGGCGTGGCCACAGGTGGCTCCCAGGACTGGAAGGTGCCTAAGTCACAGAGATGTGCCGTCACTGTCAATACACACAGACTTCAAAGACTTAGTACCAAAGAACGTAACATATCCCAATGGTTTCTCGAATTGATTACATGTTGAAATCACACTTTGGACATATTTAGATGTACTGCGTTAAAAAAAAATACACTCTGCCATTCATTTCACCTGTTCCTCTTTACTCTTGTTTTTTAATCGGGTACCAGAAAAGGTTAAATGATGTGGCTTCCGTTATATTTCTATGGGACGGCAGCTGCTCCAGAAATCTTTCTCTGCGACAACATGGTTGGTCAGCAGTCTTTCTTCTGAGATGGTTCATCTGCTCTGAACTGTCTCTGTGATCTTCTAACTCACATACCGCAGTCTTACCCGTGAAAATATTCTGGGCAAGTTTTGCCAAATGCTTTTAATCCATATATTTCCAGATCTCCGCAACCGTTAGGAAGGAGACACACACTCCCTGACTCTTGGCCGGGCTGCTGAGCCCGGCTGGTGGTTTGGCAGGTCAGCGCTTCCCTTTTCCTTTCCTACCCCTGGTCAAGGGTCAATTTCGTTAGGCGCTGATCACCTGCTCAGGTAAAGGAATGAACATAAAACAGGCATGTGCCAGCTCACTGTGCAGGAGTGGAGGAGCCCAGCACTAAATTTGCATTCTGTTTCCTAAATGCATGGGCGAGCGGCCAGTGTGCCTGTGGTGGCAGAGCCATTATTGAGGATCGTTATTCAGATGGCCACTCACACCCAGGCTTTGATTTGCATCTGGATGACAGGGACCTCTGAACGGGATAGGCCTTGGCATCGGCAGGACTTAACACAGCCTTGTGGCTGCCTCCCGCCCATCCTATGACCTGGGTTATATCACCTAGGTTCTTGGGCTGCTCTGTCCACACCACACTCTGCTCTAGGTGTTGGTGGGATAAAGATGATTCCATAAGACCTGCCAGGCCACGCTACGCCCCTGCCACACCTGGTTCATGCTCCTTCCTTTCCCTGGGCCTTCCCCACCCCCATCACGTTCCTGGCCTCTTGAGTGTGGCACAGAGGGCAGGAGCATGTGCCAGAAAGACGGTGCTCCTTCCTCCTGCCACCAGTGACTGGCAGTGCCCTGGCCACTTATTAAGTCTTCTGCAAATGTCTTTGGACGTCACAGCTGAAGGGCCGGGGGCAGGCTCCAGGGTCAGATCAGCGCCAGAGGCCTCGTCCCATCACTGTTTTCATTTCCTGCTCCTCCCTTTATGTTACGTTTTCCCCTCCATTAACAAACATATTTTAATGGACACTGCGGAGAGAGATGAGCAGTATATTCTAGAGCCGTCCATCACAGCTTTTTGGAAACCACCCTCCTCCTGCTTTAATGGAAGCCGGTACCTGCTGCCGCTGCGGGCCAGGAAGCCCGTCTGTGCTTCGCAAGCAGCCTCTCCATCCAGGGGCAGCGCCAGCCCGGAATGAGTCACTGCACGATCATCTCATCCTTCAGCAATCGGAACGAGATCCGGAGCCGACCTAGATGGCTTCAAGGCCTGAGTTGTACAGCCTTGAGCACTGGGGGCAAGTGCAGGGCCGTGACCTGAGCTACAGGCGAGCAGACATTACAGAGGGAAAAGCAAGAGCCGAAATGCACCAGAAGCAGAGACAGGAGACCGCACAATCTGAGAGACAGCGAGAGGAGAGGAGAGAGAGAGAGGACACACCTGTCCTGGCCCCCCATTTCCATGAAGCCTCACCTTCCTGCCGGTGCTCCGCAGGCTCCGCAGTGGTCATGCCAGTGACCCCCGGCTAGCCCTGAGCTTCGGCTGCATGAGCTTCTGCACCTGTAAGAAATCAGCTTTGACCAAAACACACCTGCCTCCCCGAGCACCATCCCTCCACCCCCCGCATGGCCCCGAGGCTTCATGAAAGCAGACACTGGCACCTGCTGAAACGCGGCCTCTGACCACACGTCCTTTGAGAAATGACGACACGGAAACCTCTGCCCACCCCAAGTTTTTCTCAGTAAGGAAGAGTTTATTGCAGGAAGGAGGCGAAAGTCTAACAATGCGAAGGAACTACAGGGCCCACCAGGTTAGAAGGGAAGCAGGTAAAGCAAATACACGGCTTATGTACAATTATTAAAAAGAGCAGGTGGTGGAAAACGAGGAAAAACTGCCAGCAGCCTTCCAGGAGGTTAGTAACAGAGGGGTCTGCGGGCACCCCCGCCCGGTCCTGCCTGTGCCCTGGGCCGGCAGCTGTCCGGGCTCCGGAGGGGTCGCAGGTGAAGGGAGGAGGCCGGGCCGCTCAGGACGCCCGGGTTGTCCCGCTCCTGGTGCGGAGCCCGTGATGCCGCGTGCGCCAGGCCTTTCATTCTAAAGCCCAAGGCCAACTTTATTAGCGTTTTCAAGTCATACGAGGGAAGAGTGGTGGGGAAACACACAATGTCCAGGGAAGAAAGGCACCTCCCCGGGGTCTGTGTACAAATAAATACCCAGTGTTGTCTCTGCCCCATGGCCCTGTCCTCCTGCTGAGTCTCCGCGGAAAGCCAGTCCTCCGCCGGCAGCAGGGAAGGCTCCGGCACCTCCCAGGACCCCATCCGGGACAAACGCGCCCCAAGTTCTCGGTAAGAAAGGGGCGCTCGGAGTTACTCTGAGCTCCTTAAATAAGGGAGAGGTGTTGGCTCATCTAAAGTGTTTCTATAAAAATGCATTAAATGCTGGAAAAAAGTTGCACATTCTGGTGACGCTGTAAAACGTCCATTGAACTGAAATGCAGATCATTTAAAACAAGCCGCTCCGAACAGGTCGCCACCGCTGACGCTGCCTCTGCCGCCCCAGGCCCTGAGGGCAGAGCCG